TGACGTCCGAGCATACGACGCCAACACACCGCTCGTATTGCTCCTCAAATGCTTTCCCCCCTCGTGTTGTGGCAATGAGGTGCGTGTCTGCTTTGCCAATGCGCAAACCTGCAGGCTCCCACCGTATCGCACACTTTTGTCTTGGATCCCAGTGCTCCCGAGCGAATGAGTTCATTGACTGCGTGGCGCGACGCATGACCGAGCGGGCGATGCCAAAGCTCACCGCTAACGGCCAGATAACACTCTGGCGCATTTACAATATCAAGTGTGATCAGCTTACCACTTTTGGTACCCATAGCCACTACCGTACTGCTTTGCTTGATTGAACAGCCGGAACCGGCCATTTCGATCGGCATCTCCTTTGCTATTGCTGCTGACGCCGAAACAAGTTCCGTGTGAACTTTGGTACATGTAAAGTGTTTTCAAGTCGGGCGGCAAACACGCGCTTACCTACACGCATATTGAGTGCAACGGTACCTCTTCCCGCAACGACCATCTTGATCCCGGCTTTGGCGACCGTTATGTAAATTGGCGCACTAAGATGTTAATAGTCGACATGCATATCGCGTGCGCCGCACATATGGTTGGATGCTCCGCTATCCATAGCCCAGTGATTACTCTTGAAACGTGTACTGGAACTGTTGACTGCCATTTTGGCGCAGTGGGTTATGGTTCTCGTGTCAGCGCAAGTTGCTTGGGCTCGAGTCCCATCGGAGCTGCACTCGCTAGCCAGCGCACTGAACGCAATATGAGACTCTTCCTTTTGTTCAAAGCCTTTTGGACAACGGCGATGGTAGTGTCCGACACTACCGCATCTCCAGCACGCGCTTTTTTTCCTTACTTTGTTTTTATTTTTGGCGAGGCCGGTCAGCATCGCGGTGCGCTCCTTCTTGGTGCCCAGCTCGTGTTGACGCGCTTCCTCCGCGAACACTCGATTAACGATGTCTGGGAAAATGAACTTGTCCGCCGACATACGGTACGCCTGCACAAGACCGTCGTACGAACTTGGCAGACTGCGCAGCAATGTTGCACATAAATCTTCTTGGGGCGTCAGCGCACCCCGCACTGTCCAGGCGCATCACCAGCGCCTTGAGGTCACCGACGTGCACCTCCATCGAGCCGCCACCATAAGTAAACGTGGCGAATTTCTCTTTGAGCCACATGTGATTCGCTACATCTTGGCCTTCGTGTATGCGCCATAGCATCATCCACACTTCAGCTGCGCTGCCGGCGCTGATTACGTGCTGAAGCTGGTTGTCCGCATGGGCTTGCTGCTGCTTAAAATCATAGACAACATGCACGCTGCCATCGACCAAAACCCATGGTCCTCGTGACAAGAGGTACATCTGCATCTTGTATGCCTATAGACGGTAATTGATGCCGTCAAAACGGGCAGGCTTAGCGTAGTCTTCACTGTTTGGGCTCATAACCTAAAGGATATAGGAAGGGCAGAGGTAGAAGTGACGTGCGCTTGTGTGCGCAGATTCAGATTGAGTGTATTAATGTTAGGCGCGCTAGCACACAACTGTGTGGGCCCACGCGCAACTGCCTTGCGGGTCACACAATATACTAGACCTAAGTCTAAAGCCACTAACCCATCCTAAGGTATGTGAAACACTCTAAATCAGTCTTTGCGCGAGCCTAAAATAAGTACATACTTTTAATACGCAGGCATACGCAGTCTTAACCATAAAGGTTGAGCATTCACTAACCATCCTCAATGGGCATTGAACTCACAACTTTCAGCCTAGCATAACAAAGCCAAACCACTTGAGCCAGTCACCATAACTAATGGGTTAGTGCAACAATGACATTAGCAGCATAACTAACAAAACTTTCAACTGAGCTATACGACCGTTCACGATCTGCGATAAATATTCTAACAAAACATCTGTTCAGCATCAAAACACCAAGGCGCTAGCATGCGTCGATACAATCAGGGATGTCAGTACAATCAGGCGTATCAATTATAAGCTGCTTCTCGAAGCGATCATCATTCTT